TAGTAAGTGAACAAGTCAAGGTTCTTGTATATTTGGCCTAAAGCCATATGGAATTATCTCTATTTCACCTATTGCACCCTATGCTGGCACTCATCCTGAGCTTTCTATTAACCCCTTAATGACACATGATGGAAATATTCCGACCTGATTCCTTTTTATTTCTGAAGTTGTGTCCATAAGGGGTTAAATCACCAGTGATCAGCTTCTTATTCCCACCATTTACCACTCCTTGAACAGAGAACAAGTAGAGCAAGTAGCTTCTCTGGATGTTCAACTAGGAGATCTGCAGCAAATCGCAAAATTGGATGTGATAACCTGGAAAGGGTTTATCTTCTCAATGAGCAGAGTTCAGCAGTTATGTATTTTGGTTAAAGGGATACTTTAAGTTCCAGGAATACAAAACTGTATTCCTGGCACAACAGCTCCTTCTGGATATAGCTGAAGTGGTCTGGGTGCCTATAGTGTCCCTTTACTAACTGTGAAGTGACCCGGCCAGCACTGATTTTATCAATCTCAGGCAATTTGCCCATTTCAGTTTGCTCTTCTTCTTGTGTACTACTTACCTAGATATTCTGGAAGACTACTATATATGGTCCACGTTTTGTTCTACTGGATATTTGACAATATATTCACTCCCTATTATGATGTTCCCATTCTGGGTTTGAATTTTTTTTTTTGGCCATTATAACGTCGTCATCACTACTTCCAGACACTTGGATTGTATTTAACCAAGCTATTAAACGTTTAGACTTTGTCTTTTCTGTAGGTCAGGTCATTTTGAGTGTTACTTTTCTGCCCATCATTGCATGGTGTGGGCCATCCAGTTTGTCTCTAGTTATTCATTTCTGTGGGTTTGCTAACCAGAAGTCTTACAAGTACACTCATTTGTTAAAGACGCTGTAGGCCTTTTAATCTTATTGGAGTGGTCTGTGTGCAGTGCCCCAAGCATTTTGCTCCCTTAATGTAAAGCATTGCCGTTTTGGAGATACAGCAATGTTTTCATTGTGGGGCTAAACACACCTCTAGTGGCTGTTACAATTGCTGGCACTAGATGGCGCTTCCCCTGTGTGTCAGACTCAGTTCTTTATGTACAGCCTCCTCATGCATGCATGAGGACATTGAACATTCAATCAGTGCTTCTTATAAGAGCATTTTATTTGAGTTTCCGCACTGGGAAAAACTGCAAGTAATGGGTTATTTAGTGACAATTTAAACAATAAAAGGGGAACCCAGGGGTCACATAGATGCCATTAAAGTAACACTACATACACCCATTTCATCTCAATATTTTAACGCCCATTTTATTCCTGCAGCTGAAACCATTGCTGTTTTGCAGCAATGTTTTCTTTGCAGGGTTAAGCTGCCTCTAGTTGCTGTTATTATACAGACAGCCACTAGAAGCGCTTCTGGGAAATAGCAGAGTAAAACTCTGCCACACTAAAACCTTTGCCACACATGCGCACTAGCCTCCCAATGATCTCCTATGGGAAAGCATTGGAATGGCTGAGATTATCAATCTTGATGGCCTTAGCCAAAGAGACAGGGCTTCACTGAGGAGAACGGCGCTGTGAGGGAGAAAAGGTAAGTAAAGTACCTTGGTTGTGCTAGCCAAGTCACATAAACGGTTACTAGAGCACTATAGCATTAGGAATATAGATTGGAATTTCCTAACGCTATAGTGTTCCTTTCACCTAATTAATTTTTTTACAAATATTATTTTTAACTAATAGTTTCCATTTAATGGTGCTATGGTCTGACCAGAAATACAGAAATTGCCTTGCAGTACGTCCCTACCCTTCTTATTTAATAGTTGTGAATCTAATTACACAAACTGTCTTGTAGGGTGTAGAAAATCGATTAATACTAATTCCAGAGTTCCTTGCCCTCTTCTTTCTGATGTGGGTAGGGGGAGCTGCACATTTTTGGTTTTCTAAATTATTGTGTAAAAAGTGCTGTGCAAACAAAATAATGTGATCTGCATCGGATTGGGTGATACAGCATTAACATAAATGGTAATCTCTCGCCTGGATTACTGTAATTCTCTCCTAGTTGGTCTCCCCAAAAGCCGAACTGCCCCTCTACAGTTGGTAATGAATGCTGCTGCCAGGCTGATCTTACTCATCCGTCGCACCTCCCATACCTCGCCCCTCTGTCGATCTTTACACTGGCATCCTGTATCCATAGGTGTCAATTAAAAATACTAACCCTTACCTATAAAGCTCTAACCAACTCTAGCCCCTCTTACATTTCTTCCCTTATTCTTAGATATGTCCTTTCTCGGTCTCTCCGCTCTGCAGGTGACCTTCTCCTGTTCGCACCCTTACTGGTAACTCGCACTTGCAGGACGTCTCGCGGACGTCTCCCATCTTTTGGAACAGACTCTCCCCTAGTCTTGTTTAAAAAGTCCCTCAAAACACATCTGTTCAGAAATGCTTATGGACTCCCAGAGTAACTTATCTATACTTATCCAAATCTGTCTCTTGCTTTCCTAAAGACCCATAGTCCACTCTCACCTCCAGCTTTGCTATATTTCCACCATGTTTGGTGGCTGTCACCCTTGCTGCCCTGTTGTATATTTGTACCCCACCTCATCAAGACTGTAAGCTCGTTTGAGCAGGGCCCTCATCTACCTATTGTTCCTGTTTCATTGTGAAATTGTCTCATTTATTGTAAATTTCCCCTCCTTTCATTATATTGTAAAGCGCTGCAAAATTAGTTGGCACTATATAAATACCAAAAATAATAATAATAATACTAGCCGTACACTTGCAGCAAGCTCATTAATGTGTTGCCTGTCACAATTACATTTTACTTGACCCATCTATTCTGAACACACCTTTGTTTGAGCTTTCTGGTTTGCCTCTCTCCAATTGTTGTCAAACAACCTAGCCATTCAAAGCTCTCTTCCAGAGCCAATAACATGCATTTCAACTACTCATAAGCCCAAATCACATCTTCCACCATAATGTATCTGTACATCAACAATGACCCAGCTGGGGAAAATATTAGATATGTAAAAAAAAAGTCAACAGAATACAGACTGCTATTGTGACACTATTTCCCTATCAGTTCTTGACAAAAACAGATCGCTTGTATGCTGGCTTGTTCTGATTGAATTATAAATCTCATTGTAGAATTCAATTAAATCATTGGCAAGCGATCAAGAATAGGGATTCCCACTTGTTTTGAAATTGAAGACAGAAAAAATGTATTTTGTATTTGGATGAATACTTTGTTTTCTGTCGACATTCTCAGTTCATGCAATGTATTTATCTGTTAGGTTGCTGTATATCTGTGCGTGTGTGTGTTTGTTTGTGTGTGTGTTTCTCTCAACACTACTATAATATTCCTGCTCTCTTTACAATACAGCAACATTTCAGTATTGGTATAATGGAAGTCACCTTTTAAAGTTTGACATTTTCAAGCTAAATCAAAAGAGAACTTAATCTTTTATGGAATATGAAAGACATACATGTTTTGTCTATTTTTTAATTTACAGGAACAAGTGACTCTGCAGAAAAAACTGCAGATTGTTCTGTTTGTAGTCTACACGATTATGAAACATTCAGACAAACAAGTTGGTTAAATGCTGAAACCATCAACTTCCAAAATCAGGTCAGACAAGTTTTTCCAGAGTCTCACACATTCATGAAATGTGTCATCCCATTTTTGCATTCAGGATTATTTTTTAATAAAAGAGCTGTGAAGAAAATGTATAGAAATAAATTAGGTGCAGAGACGTAGTTGTTTTTGAAATTTAGCTCCTGTCCATTGCATGTAATATATATTTTTTTGGTTTGTAAGAAAAAAAAATGTTCACCAAACTGTGGCCTTAAAAAGTTTTTCAAACTATCACAATTTTTTAGAAAACTTTTTAAATGATTTATCTACAAACAAAATTTTTATTCTTTAATGATGACTTCTGTATTTAATTAATTTGAAAGGTTTTTCTAACCGGTTGTGATCATTTGTAAAGCTTATCCAAAAATGTTAAATCAAGGCCAGAATCAGGTGTCAACGGCAAAGACAGATAGCCGTGCTGAAGATTGGTTAGTTGTTTGGTACCATAACTCTAATCACATTAGTTACGGATTTTGATCATTGTGAGGAAACATCACTTGTATGACACTGTGAGAATTTTATTGAGATTTTTTGTACGGAGCCATATGATGGATATCACCTGCTTATTCAACTACACCAAGTATTCTCCAAAGTCATAACCTTGACCAGTGATTCGGTTATAGTTAGTTAATTTGTGTGTGTTTTTTTTAAAATTACTATTATTGGCATTTATATTGCGCCAACTTATTCCGGAGTGCTTTACAATATTATTAGGGAGGAAATTTAACAACAATAAATTAGGCAATTTCAAATTGTTACCGGAACAATGGATTGGTGACCCTTTGCAAAAAAAGATTATTCTTTAGTTTTTTATATATACATATTAATTTGTTGTGCTCCATAAGTCCAACATTTCCCATTTCCCAAAACTACAGTATATGAAATAAAATGAATTCTTCAGTAGAACTAGTAGAACACTAACAATTCGAAAACAAGTTAAGGAAACTCTGCTCATGGGATAGGTTTATGATGGGATATCTACCATACAGTATTCTGAATACGGTATGCCTTATTTGTCCTAGTGAGACATTATATATAGAAATAGCCATTTAGAAGTTCCTCAAGACAAGTGATCTCCATTAGATATTAAACGTAAAATATACAGCTACATTTATTAGAAATTGGTGATGAAACCTTTAGTTTAAACAACTCAATAAGTTTGCAATGAAGTTGTATTCTTTTGCGAATGGTATGCCATGGTATGGTGGAAAGTACAGATGCTGTCTGCTGTTTTGTCCCAGAACTGTCATGTGCCTAGTAAATATATCTGTCTTATGTCAAAATATTTAGACTGACAAGTCTGTCATTTTAATCACATAACTTCTCAAAAATCAGGTCTTCATGGGTAGGTATTACTGAATGTAAATACAAATCTAATGGGACTCACATGCCCTGTGAAAATTACCATGAAAATGAAATGTACATAAAAAACAAAACAAAACCAGTAGGAGATGAGAGGAGAGAATGGTTTAAATTAAATATCAAGATATATCTTTCTGTAGCATTTTTTGATTGGATGATAACTGCAAAGTCCCCACACAAGAAATGTCAATATTTATCCTATGGCTTCCAATAATGAATTGAAATCTTAGATATATGGGGAATTTCTACAATCAGGGCTAATAAATGGATATATTGTAAAGTAATTTTCTGTAGCTGCACTAATTGTGCAGAAATTAATAATATATCTATTTTTTAAATAAGAAATAAGAAATTAAATATATATTTTTTTGTGCAGGGTCTCACAAACAGTAACTTGACATAAGAACACATATTTGTAGTTCCTTGATACTGAAAGCACAAGATTCTTGATTTTGTCATTGTGATATATATATATATATATATATATATATCTATCTACTGATTTAGCTGTTTAAATTCACATTTGGTTTATTACTGGGTTTCCAATGATCCTGGGTTTTGTCGTTTATGACTGTCTGATGGACATTGTAAGTTGCCTCTATATCACTGTATTTTAGTTCACTTTTTATACTAGGATGTTTAACTGTTAGATATATTATTTTGCTATATGGTATGTTTCTGGATTTGTCTGTTGTTGTTTTTCCTACTACCACACTTCTATAATAAAGTACTTCATTTCATGCTATATGTGTTCTTATTCCACGACTGCTTCTACTTTATGTATTATCAATAGAACAGAGCCACGGCTTGGGAAAACATAAGAGGCAGTATAAGTGACTATCATAAAGCATTTGTACAGGGTGTAGCGGAATGTGATTGTGCTCAATTGATACAAACTTCCAACAATGGGTTGGAAAGCTGGTGTAGCTTTTAAGATCATATTTTTCACTTTTTAACAATGATAAGCAAGGATATTTTTGGAAAGGAGACCAGCTAAAAGCAGGGTGCCCATATGTGGCTTCCTTTCCTATGGGGCCTAGAACACAGCCAAATACACAGCTCTACATACATGCATTGATATTTGCACAGCATTACAGTCACTGGACAACCCTGTTGGACATATATTATGAGTACTACATTTATTTGGAAATTTCTTTGTAATGGTGCTATTACAGTAGAAAAGTGAGCTTTGCTCTTAAATGGGGATTGTGCCACACAGCAAGCTATTGAGCTGTATTCATACCTGAGTTATTCTCACTCCTTTCAGTTTAAGTTAAGAGGCTAATGTCCAGATGTTTCACAAAGGCACATCAAATACAAGGCATTTTTTGTGTAAAAAAATAATTCATCGGGTTGCTGAGTTAATTATGTAGTAAAATGTATATCTGAGATTTGGCATACCATGCAGCTAATGCTACCTCTATATAATTATAAAACACTCTATTTCTAATACATGAGGTTTTATCATGGTAATTGTGAGTTTAGACAGCTAAAGTGTACTATGTCTTCTAACTCAGCTATTTTGGGCGGAATTTTGCAAAACCTCCCCCTAGTTCACCATATGCAACATTTCTTTCTTTCCCAAATTCCGTGTATAGAACATAGATCGATCACTGACGCCTTCATACGGGAATGTACAATAGCATGGTGACAATTATCATTTCTAAAAAGCATCAAGAATCATTATATTTTGGAGTAATGACTTGTCGTAGAGGCAGTTGAATTTTAGGTCGATTTTACTGGAAAAATGACTAGAACACTCTTATATGTATTTTGAAACAGTTCATTTTTACAATTTGAAACACGATTCTCATGTTTATACAGCAGCATTGGATACCCATTAGCAGCGCTCCATATATTCATATTGATGCATGTCTCCTGGTGATCGTTATTGGACTTTAAAATGTCAGCTAAGCTGCAGGACATCTGCTTAAGCTGATAGCACCACTAAGCTCTGAGATTTTACTGAAGTTTATAGTTTTTTTATTCATTTTCACATCCTTCATGCAGCCGACAAAGGAACTCTTCACAGGGAGCCATGTTGTTTGCAAGGTAGCTGCAAAATATAAACAAAGTGTGAATACTCAAGAATGCATACAATATGTTGACTGTCTTAAGAGTTTGATTGACAGCTTGGCTGTCATTCAAACATGCTACCATATTTTCTTGATTGAAATTCCCTGAATTCTACTCAGAAAATAAGTGTATATATATATATATATATATTGCAGGATGCTTTATAATTCAGAATTCTGTTTGGCTCATTTTTTTTTTTTATTATTCTTTATTAGTTATAGAGTGGTATAGTTAGTGTTAAGATTACCCTACATTCATACATTACAAATAATGCAGCAATGGTTTACTGATAAATCCAGTTTTATTGCACTAAATATTACCTGGCACTCCTCCAATATATAATGGAGCCGCAGTGTTTGTGTACGTTGCTGATCTTGGCCCAGATGTTTGTTCCGATTGTTCATCTATCTCCAACTTCAATACATTTTCTTTTTTGGTTACTACATAGAATAACAATGATTGATTTAGCATGCCGAATAAACCAACAAATGTCTGTTATTTGTGGGTTCATATCTTTCTCTACTCCCCGTTATATTATGTATATTATAAATGACGCATCAGTGAGTCTATCTTAGCAGTTACAAAAAAAAGGAGCACCCAGCTGTTCATAGCACTAAGTGGACCCAGATGAGAAGAGCATTTCCCTGCTGAAAGTGTCCTTAATGCTCTCAATGTACAAAGGGGGTTAGCTGTGCCTCTTTCAGTAATCCTTGAAGTTAGCCTGACAGCTGATGTTTCAGCATGTGTTCACCCCACAGCATCATGTAGGGCAGGGTTACCCAAAGGGTAGAACCCCAGAAATGTAATAAATCGACAACTTCAACAATGCCTTGTCATTCCAAGGGCCTGCAAAGGCAAGCAAAGCATCATGGGAGTTGTAGTTCTACAACATCTGGGGATCTAACTTTTAGGCACCTCTGATGTAAGGTATCCAGGTCAAAGTGAAAGCAGAGAATGTATTTTGTATATGTGCTACCTGTGAAATGTTGGTTTGCATGCAAGATTTTTAGCCTTATATTAAATCTTGCAAAACAAATAATATAGTAAAGTAACATAAAATATTTAAAATGTTGTGTTTTGTATTTTAGAACTTGGAATTAAAATGTATTTAATTTAGATTTTTGTACCTTGTTAACATGTCTAAAAGTTTAAAGATGTTAAATAGTTTTAGTTATGACACATATAAAAAAGCAAAAACACATGTACACATCTAGTTGTGGTGATGTTTTTTATGTGTAGTAACTAGGAAACTGGTACTATTTGAGGACAAGTTTGATGGCAACAAATACAGGGCAATTCTAGAGGATAATCTGTATTAAATACAGGGCAATTCTAGAGGATAATCTGTATTAAGACACCTGGGACTGTGATGAAAGCTAACATTCTAGGAGGATAATGACTATATAAACACATACCCAAAGTTGCATTTCAATGACTTAAAACCAAGAGTCTGGAAGTCTTATAATAGCCTAGATAAAGCCAGGAAGTTGATTGGGAATCTGAAGTGAAGATTTTATAAAGGCTCTAAAGAGCAAGACTTACAGCAAAACACCTGCAGATTATTGTTATTGTCATTTATACAGCACCCACATATGCCACGGCTATACACTCAATCACTTTGAGTGTATATATCATGTCTCTGCATTCTCACTGCTCAATTCTCTGCCATTTAGGAGTTAAATCACTTTGATTTACACCTGCCTGTCTATGACTTGCACAGCCCTCCTAAATGCTTCCTGTAAAGAGTCATCTAACGTTTACACTTCCTTTATTGCAAACACTGGCGGAACTACTGCGATTGCAGGGGTCACAGCTGCGACCGGGCTCGTCATTTCAGGGGGCCCGGCCGCCCTGTCGACCCCAGGGATCAGGGTGCCCGCCAACATTTTTGGGTGGCCCGACCACGCGGAAAAACCGCAGGGCCGCATTGAAGGAGCCCATTGATTGGCCCATGCTCTTGGGGCCACCCAATGGCAATGGGTTTCCTGGGACCCGGTCAGTGCTGGAACGCTTTAAGAGCGCAACTGGGCCCCAGTGATGATGTCAGAGCTGGGAGGAAGCCGTCACTTCCTCCCATCCAACAGAGCGCCGTGCAGGAGAAGAGGAGGGAGTCAGAATGGAAACTCTGACTCCCATCAGCATGAGGCAGCCACTGGACCCCAGGTAAGTCACTAAAAATGTTTTAACAGTTTGTGTGTGTGTGTGAAAGAGAATGTCTGTATCAGTATATCTGTGTGTGTGTGTCTGTCTGTAAGTCTGTCTCTGTGTGTGTCTCTATGTCTGTCTGTATGTGTGTATGTCTGTATGTATGTATGTGTCACTGTGTGTATGTATGTGTGTGTCTGCATGTATGTGTCTGTGTGTATGTGTGTGTCTGTGTGTATCTGTTTGTATGTGTGTGTGTTTGTATGTCTGTGTCTGTGTGTGTATATGTGTCTACATGTCTGTGTGTATGTATGTGTGTGTGTGTATGCATGTGTGTCTGTATGTGTGTGTCTCTGTGTGTCTGTATGTGTGGGTCTATGTGTGTATGTGTGTTTGTTTGAATGTATGTGTCCATGTGCATGTGTGTGTTTGTATGTATGTGTATTTGTGCATCTGTATGTATGTGTTTGTGTGTGTGTCTACATGTATGTGTGTCTGTGTGTGTGTGTGTCTGCATGTGTATTAATAATTTCTTATCTCCTGCTCTGTTAATACCTTGCTAGATCCTGTATTTGATTAAAGTTCAATATAGATAGCAAATAATACAAATATTTAAAGCAAGTTACTATCTGATTCAAAGCGAAACTATTTTTTTTCATGTAGTCTGTCTGAGCCACAGACAGAAACAGACACAAAAGAGATTTAACTCCTAAATGGCAGATAACTGAGCAGTGATACTTCAGAGGCATGATCTATACCAGGGATAGGAAACCATCGGCACTCCAGATGTTGTGGACTACATCCCCCATAATGCTCTTGCACCCATAATGCTGGCAAAGGGAGTGCCGAAGGTTGCCTATGCCTGATCTATACACTAAAACTGCTTCATTAAGCTAAAGTTGTTTTTGTAACTATAGTGTCCCTTAAAGTATGTTGTGTAAAACAAATAGCAAAACCTCCAAATCCACGTTTTAACACTATCAAATGTGGTAAAGCCTGGGCAGTGGAACACTGTAAGGTGGAAGCTGGGAA